GGGGGGGGGATCCAAAAGTCGGGACATGTGCCTGATAAACAAAAGAAGGGCTGACATTCTGATGTTGATTATTTTTCTATTGTCCCAAAAATGTCCCAAAGTGACTTTTCAGGTGTCCCGGCCTAAATTTTACTGGTGAGTGGCCATCGGGAAACCGTTAATTTCGAGCCCTGAATCCATCATCTTATATTAGTTAACACAGGGGAATAAATTGACGTTTTAGTTGGTGACTCGTTCCAAAGCTCCCTTCTTTGAAAGAAAGGAGGGAAGCGGCCGCTTTGAAGCTGTTCACAGCTATGATAAAGCCTGAGCACCCACTACATGACCTAGTGCCCCCCCAACGGTCCACAGCTACAGGTAGATGCTTGCGGAACGACAGTGCCTTCACTGTGCCAAAAGCCAGGACTGAGCGACTGAAAAGGTCATTTGTTCATTGTGCGGTAAAACTGTACAATGAGTCTGTTTCATAAGCTATCCCATGCTGTATCGATCTGCATCCAATTTTGTTATCTTTAAGCTGTTATTGTTCATTGATTGTATTGTATTATGTGTTTTGATTATATTGTAACAAACTATCCACTTCAGGGAGACTCTTGTCTTTCCCTGCATATGTATGTTTGGTGGTTGGAAAACCAATAAATAAAGATTTATCATAAATAATATTACTAGTAGTTATGTTATGCCTTTGTTCTATGGCTTTTGTAACATTGGCGAACGAATATAATGCATGTATATCCTACATCTAACCATGGAGTTAAAATCAAGATCTAACTAAGGACACTATAAGGAAGAGAGAAGAAAGATGATCCTTGATTTACATAATTAATGATCATGCACAAAGAAGGACCCGACATGAGGCGAGGGGACTGACTGACCTGACAAGACTTGGCGACGGCCGGCGAGCTACACCACATCGAGGGAGGAACGTTACATGTCTGCCCGCTTTCTACAGCTTCTACACACTGTACAGCCGCTAAAGAAGCCACGAGGAGTAAAAACACAACCATACTGGACGTAAAAAGCTACACTTCTAACATACAAGTCACAAGTTACTACTACACGATCCACTGTTGTCTTTCCGTCTGTTCCTGTCAGCTGGTCATCATGTGACGCAATCTAGACTAATACATTACATCTATAGGGGTCTTACTTTTCATATTACACAACTAAGTATTTCCTTAAACTTTGAAGGTTTTCATCCCTTATATATTTTGATACTTTATAAATACTAATTTGTGTTAATTGATAAAAAGCCGATTTTAGCGGAAAATATATTTGGTACAATAAAATGTTGCTGACCCCTTTTACCTCAATGATATCGTCTAAAGATCAGAATACTCCACTGTGCAATAGGGGGTACAGATAGCAACACTACCCAAGAAGCTTCAATAATGTCCGGCATTACCAGCAAATATTTAAAAAACAAAGTATTTAAATCTTGTTATATCAGCAATCAAGCACATTTTATGCTCTTTATGCGCTTGCTTCATCAAATAATAGTATACAAAGCTTACAGAACACCCACCATAATGGCATCGCCTAGGGTCAAATACTCTGAACAAACTTCCAAACTCGTCATTTCGCATCAGCCACTCCGAGGGGAAGGCCTTGTCTGCAGAGCTCAGCCATGGAGAAGGCTACGGCGATCTGTGAGCAGGTAGAGGGCTACATGAGGCCCCTTGGACTGGAGAGCTACCCGTTTAAGGTACCAGTAACGTCTCTGAACAAAAAAATCGTGGTCAATATCTGTATTTTGGACCACATGGTATGTAACGTTACATGTATCAAGAACAGTCTGGAAATGACGACGTCATCATCGAAACTGAAAGTGATCACGAAAACAATTTTGATAGTTTATGTCTCAAATAGTTTATGTCTCAAACCTCAACAATGTTACGTTCCTCACTTTTTCTGAATTGACGTCTGAGCATTGAGGTTATCATCTTTGTAGCCTCCATGGTTCTTAAAAAAGACTTTCATCTTTCATGGTGGTCAGTATGTTTACTGTAAACATGCATGACGTCATCATTGAAAGTGAAAGTAGATTTTGGAAAGAAAACAAGGTATCCTAACATGCATATCATATACATATACATGTATGCACTGGTGTTAAATAGGGGTGGGTACCGGTTCAGCCGGACCAGTTTAAACTGGAACGACATTTGGGAACCGAGTCCAAAAAACCGAAACGCAGAGCTAATGTACATTTCTGTAGATTATACTCACATCTTAAGATAGTCTGGCCATGGCAGGTAAAGAAAATAACCCTGAATCAAACTAGATTGGCCTTAATCCATGTTTGTCTCTTTCTGTAACTGTGTTCAGCTTCAATGTACAAAATTATTGTACAACTTGAACATAATATATAACACACAAGTGAGTCACTTGTACTCTTGTTTCGCATTCCAAAATATGATTTAGTGCAACTGTACAATAATCAGGTCCAGGTTTAGGTCCGGACCTGGACCTGATCCTCTGAACCTGATCCGGACTTGGACCTGAATTTTCTATACAGGTACCCATCCCTACCACAGACTATGATAAAAGCTACCGACATGTCAACATTTAAGCATATGCACACGCAGCAGAAAACTAGAGTTCACCTCTTACCTCACCCTATGATCAGACTGGATTATGAACTAGTCAGTCATCTTTGTATGTTCTGGTAGTGGTATATAATTGTAATATGTTATGTATTCATTATGTATTTATAGTAAAAAGTTAAAAGTTACTTATTCTGCTTTTCCTTCCAGATTCAGTGGTACAATGAGAAGGTGAAGGACCCCTTCCCCCTGCCCTACCCTGGCGACACCCTAGCGGTTGTCATCCTAAGTACACCCAACATGTTTGAGAAGGCCTTCAAACCATTCGTAGCCAAGCAGGACTGTTACGTACGGGACCCCATCGACGAATGTCTGCTGAGTCACATGCAAAATGTCAAAGCTGTGAGTTGCTACTAGTATATGGCCTTTCCAAATCTTCTAATTATATCTGATTAGGCCACAGCAAGTAATTTTTATGGATGACATCAACGCATGCATTGATTTTCGCTTGATTTAGGAAAAAAAACAAGAAATTTTGTTGTTTCCTGACCGTGGTCAACATGCCGAAAATGGGCAAAGATGTCTGTTGCCATGTCGGAACATGGATGGCAGATAACTATGAAGATAGGAGACAAGAAAAGGCTCCGATTTAATGTTTTGTTTTTTACTTTGATGCCGTGATATGTAATGATGGCTGTGTATATGTGGTGTTCCTACTAAATCAAAGCCATTTGTACAATGATTGAGTAAACATTTGAAAATGTAGGAACCTTTTTTTTGGCCCACCTTGGGTTTTTTTCGCCCACTCGCATCAGATTTGGAGTCTGCGGAGGATGTCATCCATAAAATTTACTTGCTGTGGCCTTATGGCAGTGCTCAAAATACGTAATTTCAGTTTCTGAAAAATGTGTGGTTCATGATAACACATATGTTTTCATTTGCCTTGCCATATTACAGATCTAAGGTTGGTATTTTGAGCCCTGTATGGCCAATTGAATTATGGCTGCTTGTGACGTGAATATAATAAAATGTTAACATGAGTTAGTGCCATTTTGTCACATGTAACAAAAGAGAACACTAAAAACAAGAATGTTCACATATGTCGGTGAAGGTTAGACATCCAGGTAATAAGATATGCCAAAAACAGTTACTCAAGCAACTGGATATGATTTTTTTGGGTAGCAATGTTCACATATGTTCATAAGGCCACACCAATTTAATTTGTTGGTTCTCGGATTCGCCTCTTCGTTTTTTTCTGATTTGCAAAAAAAAAAAAAATTAATTCTGGTCCTGAATCAACTGAAAAATGCTCATGTTTTGCCCCCAACAGTTGAGGAAAGTCCTTTTCTTCCTAGTTGTTACAGTTTTCCCATCTATCATTGCAGTGGTTTGATTAAAAGTTCAAAATTCAATGTTTAAATTTTAACCCAGCCTTTTGTGTTGACTTCATGGCTCATTCCATAGCATTTAAGCCTACAATAGGATGCCTAGACCTGTTTTTATTTTTATTTTTTTTTCACCCTGTTGCTTCATATTTTTTCTGAAAAAATCCGAGAACCAACAAATTAAATTGGTGTGGCCTAAGGATAGCAAACCAATGATATTCAGCTGAAAGTCAGTACACTTTATTTCAGAGCTTCCCAGATGAAGACATAGACTGTATGCAGGACTTTGAGATGCACCCGAACCACCGGCCAAAAATCCTGGTGCAGACGGCAGCACACGTGGCTGGTGCAGCCAGGTACTACCAGAGAATGGATGTCAAGGAAGACCCATGGGGGAAGGATAAGGTGTGTAGTACCTATGACTGGCGCTAGATGTCTCTTCTGAGCAAGACACAGTTTACATTTTATTCGTCTTGCCATAATCTTTAGAAATCATTGGAAATATCGTTTGCGGGCCCAAAAATATTTCAAATGTTTGGTAATACTTAAGAAATGTTTAGAAGTCAAAAGTAGGTTAGAAATTGTTCTAATAATTACTTATATACATTGTTAGAAGGTTTCGAAAATGTTTGAGCCACGTGGTGAGGCGGAATTGACTCTACTGCTCTTTGTATTAAATTACAACTAAAGCAAAAGCTTTGAACTAATATCGCCACCTTGAGAAAAAGTGTGCTTAAAGATATTTTTACTGCAACATACCCTAGGTATGTACATTGTACATTTGAGGTGTGCAGGAGTGCATACCAAAAGTATGCTGCAGTAAAAATATCTTTAAGCACACTATTTCTCAAGGTGGCGGCGATATTATGGACCCTGCTGATATTATGGACACATCATTTAATTTTTTGAAGGAGTTTCAGCATTAAATTACTAGTAAGTCAAGAACAGGATTACTTCAAGAGAGGCATAAAAGAGGCCATATACATCAGGGCACTTCAACCATCGCTCAACCGGGACGGGGGGCGATATCGACTTCAGACAACCTTTGACCCTTTGCAGACGTCACACGTGGGAAAAATCACGTGTCCACAGCATTTGGGTCAGATAGCTGAGGAAGATTCAGTCGAAAATTTCTGATGAGTCAAATTTTGAGTTGGAGAACACTTTAGGTTTTTTAAGTCAAGTTTCTGTGTGTTTCAGAACATTTATGGCGTCTGCGTGCACCCCAAGTACGGCGGCTGGTTCGCCATCCGCGCCGTCCTGGTCTTCAAGAACGTCCTGGTCCCGGAACTGGAGTACAAGGAGCCGGCAGACTGCGTGCCGACGGACGAACTTCGCATCGACCTGCTGAACAAGTACAACTTCCACTGGAAGGACTGGTCGTTCCGAGATGTCATCCCGGTGGAGGAGAGGTACTCGGAGGAACAGAAGGTCTACTTCGACACTCCTCCTAAAGACAGGAAGGCCCTGCTTGGACTGGAGGACAAAACAACATGAGATGTCTTGGCAAAACAGTTGTGCCAAAAACAGTTACCAGGGCTCGAAATACTGGGTGCATGTGCACCTTAGTGCACCAAATTTTTTTTTTAATGGAACGGTTCAATGCAAGGCCTATACGACCACTTCTCGGCATTGAACTAGAAATATGAGAGAAACATGGCTATGTCAAGAGATGGCGGTGAACGTTTGATTTGAAAGGCTATAGATTGTAGGTTGGAGGAAACACTTGTCAGGGAGGGAATTTGGAGCTGTGCACCTAGTTTTTTTCTATTGGTGCACCAGTGCACCCAAATAGGTTTTTCTTAGGTTTAACGTATGAAAAGGTGTTAAATGTATAGTAGTTACAGCATATTCTTAACATCCAAGTATCAGAAAAAGTAATACAATCATTGTTATAGGACTTTTATTGACTCTGAGTGTAATAAAGTAGTCTTTGCTGACATTCTACTTATTTTATCTGTCTTATATGGTGCACCTAAAATATTTTTTGTGCACCTAATTTTTTAGGTTGAGCCCTGGTTACTCAAGCAACTGGATATGATTTTAGTTTTCTATTATATCCAGTTGCTTTTGGTGTTATATATATATAGTTGCTTTTGGTGTTATATCATATCCAGTTGCCTTTGGGGTTATATCATATCCAGTTGCTTGAGTAACTGTCTTTTGGCATATCTTATTACCTGGATGTCTAACCTTCACGAACATAAGATGTCTGGCAAGTTTGTCAGTATATTGAAGAAAAGGTTACGAAGAAAGATGTATTTTTTTCATGTGTGCAACTGTCTGTGTCCAGAGAAAATGGTACCACACCATGGTTTACTCTGTGGCTGTGTGTTTGTTACAGCATCCGTTGTGACTGTAGTCCTATACAGTACCGTTCGCGTTATAGTTAACCGGGTACCCCGTTACTAATGAGTTAGATTTTTGTTAGTATTTGGTTAGATTTTCGTTAGAAAACCGTCAGAAATTGTTTCTAACGCGTTACCGTTTGCGTTAATGTAATAGGGTCGGATTTCATGTTTGTTTTGCGCGCCGAAAAATAACAATACCAGAGGCAAGTGGACATGTGATTCGTAAAATAACTTTGTGGTTTATCCATGTGTCGACTGTGTGAAGCAAATTGTGCTATCTTTTAATGCTATTCTATAGTTATTTCTAGCGGAAAATTACGTTGTGTAGTACAATGTATGTCAACAAAGTGTAGCAGCGGGGTTCAAGCGGACAATACAGACGACGTAGACGTGAGCACTCTTCCTAGCAATACATTGTATTTCTATTTGATAATCTACAGCTTGCAGTTGTGAATACATTCAGTCTAGTCCAATGTTTGTGATATTCTTAAGGGTACATTGAAAATGGCTCATAGAAGCTAGACTGTACTTGAAACATTCATAATTATGCAATGTATTTGTGAATTTGAGAACTTTTTAATCTAATCAGAATTGTTGCAAGTAAAATCAAAATATACTGTGCACCATGTAAAACCCCTTGCTCAGTCGTAGAGACTCGGTTTTCATCTGTATTCACATCATGTACCAAACGCTTAATCATTGCTGGTAATTGTATATTTTATTATAGTTAAATTCACACAGCCCTCTTTCTACTAGCCTGGGTACCATCCTACTTGTATGCCGGGGCTCCCACACTCGCGTCCCTAACAACTTGTTAGGGAAGCGAGTGTGGGAGCCCCGGCATACAAGTAGGATGGTACCCAGGCTATCTTTCTACAGTTTGGCTGAGATGGTATTGCCTATTTGTAAGATGGAAAGCCTAACAAGCCTGGTTACCAGGCTAGTTGTGTTGCACCTGTGTGTATTAATATACACCAGGCTTTGAATGTGCACTTTCAGTGTTATATCAATACATGGAGCTGAGACAAAAGAAAGACTGTCACAGTAGTCTTTATTTATTATTATTTTTTTATGACAATCTACCACATTTGTGGAAGGATTAACATAACGGTGGAAGGATTGACATAACAGGTGACTATCACCTCTTCAAGATGTCAACCCTGATACCAGACTGTAAGGTTTGAACCACTCACACCGGGAAGAACCCCTACTCTTTTTGATAAGTGTGGTGGGTTCTTTAACGTGCGTGGAGTGTGGCTCTCCCCAAACACGGGACCTCCATTTAACGTCCTATTTGAGGGACGTCCCTAACCGAAGCTAGGTACTCATTTACACCTGAGTGAAGTGAGGAAAGTCGTGTTAAGTGCCTTTCCCAAGGGCACAAGATCGGTGACACCGGGCAGGATTCGAGCCCGGGACCTCTTGGGCCTGGGCCGAACATGCTACCACTATGCCACACATCCCCACTTTGAAGCATGAAGTCACCTACAACTAAGCATAGCTTTCTTGACTGATACTCACTCACTCACTGAATCACATACGCACTCACTCATATGCTCACTCACTCACTCACTCTCACTCACTCACTCACTCACTCACTCACTCACTCACTCACTCACTCACTCACTCACTCACTATGTTCACAACTTCTCTACAATGTTCACAACTTCTCTACAATGTTCACAACTTCTCTACAATGTTCACAACTTCTCTACAATGTTCACAACTTCTATACAATGTTCACAACTTACTCCCCATTCCTGGCCACCACACACAGTCTCTGTAGGCCCTTGCAGTTGTACAGAGCCTCCAGGAAACTCCAGGCTACGTTGAAGTTTGTCTGCTCAAACCTGATGAAATAATGTAAGTTACCATTGATGCACGTCAAACTTGTGCTACTGAAGATCCAAATGGAAAATTTAATGTGCAATGAGGCCACACCAATTTAATTTCTTGGTTAACGGATTTTTCTAGAAAAATAATGGAGCGGGCGGGCGAAAAAAAATAGGCCTAGGCATCCTATTATGGCCCAAAATGGTACAATAGGCTGGTTCAAAGTTTAAACAATGAATTTTCAATTGCATTGAAAGATGGAGTAACTGTAACAACTAGGATGAAAAGGACAGTTTTCAACTGTTCAGGGCAAAATATCAGCATTTTGCAGTTGACTCTGAATTTTTATTTTTATTTGCAAATCAGAAAAAATGAAGCGGCGAATCCGTTAACCAAGAAATTAAATTGGTCTGGCCTGAGAGAGGATTTTAAGTGTGTCAGACACGTGGTTAACTGATGAACACCATTCTAATGCACTTTTCTAACAAAACATCAAGTAGATGTGTGGTGCAGAATCCTGTGAAACTGTAACAAACTGTTATCTCTTACCAGCTGCATGCAGCATTTTCTGTATCTGTATTGGTATAGCCGGTATAACCGCCCTTCGGCGTAACACGCCAGCTTCGCAGGCACGCGGCGCGGCGGCAGCTAGCTATATCACACCGAACGGCTTGTTACACTCAATCTTTGCACATTTGATTGCAGGAGTTGTTTAAAGTTTTCTAGTGATGATGCCCCAACTGTGCTTGGTGGCAACGAGTTCCAGTCTACGATAGTTTTGGGGAAATACGAGTTTTTGAATACCTCAATTCTTGGTTGATAACTCTGATATTTGATATTTTCACTCCAACCAACCTGAAGTCCTGTAAGTGTGGCATCCTTCTCAGTGCAGACAGAAGGTTCTTGGAGTAAGTGCACTGTCCGGTGGGACCCAGGTTTGCCAGGGACAGGTGCCGCAGGGCTGGACACTTCTCTGGGAGGGTCTGCAGGAACTCACCCGTGGTCACCCCTGGCAACCCGCCCAGGGTCAGCTTATGGAGCTTCCTCCACTCACAGATACAGGACAGGTCTGCATCCTTCATCCGGGACTTCACATCATCACTGCAACAGGCAGGACTTGGACTGTTTAATCGACATGAGTTATGGATAATGATTCTGATTTGTTTATATTGGTCTTTGTTTGTATCTGTATCTCTGATTTTACTGTATTTTGTACTGGGCCCTATTGAAAATCAATTTGTCAACCCAGGTGTCTGAAGATTAAATAATAAATAATAATAATAAAAAGTAAGGAATGGATACCCAAAGGCCATCTGTACTTATGAAAAAAAGTTACCGCCACATTTACTGATATGGCTAAGAGAGATGGAAAAAACATCTTACAGGATTTATGGCCAAATATCATAACATTACAAGATTACCAGACAAAATAAGGCTAAATTGTACAAAATATCTTGGCAGGGTTTTTAGACAAATGTTGTACCATGGCCTGTAAATGAAGAAGCCTCTCTTGTCCCTCTCCAGCTTGGGGTGTAAGGTCTTGTGGACCAGTTGGGAGTGAAATCCCACACCCAGCAGTTCAAACTCCTCCACATGGGGGCAGCCATGGACGATCTTCCACAGGTTCAGGAGCTGTGGTCATAGATGGAGTACTCTGTAAAAATGAAAGCGTCCCCGACGGAGAAACGCCCGTTTAAACGCCCGTTTGTGGTGGCCGTTTGTTTGGGACGGCTGCCCGTCCCTGGCGGTAAACGGGGACTCCGGACGCCTGGACAAAGGCCAGAAACGGGCCAGGACGCCTCAAACGCCTGGGACGCCGTCAGAACTGTCCGTTTTCGACGGCGTCCGGGCGTTTCTTAAGGCGTTTGGGCGCCGTTTCCGACGGGCTACCGGGCGGGCTGCTGGACGCGCTGCCGGACGGGCTGCCGGACGGGCTCCTGGGCGGGGCCGGGCGACGCTTGGGACGGCACAGGTGGGGTCCAAACGGCGTATCCGACGGCCGGACGGGTCTCTGGGGGGTGCTCAGTCATTGTGGACATTTTGATCTTGCCGCTCCGACGGGGTTGGGACGGCGTTTCCGACGGCGTCCCGTGACAGAAGGTGCCGATATAGTAATATTGAAAACAATTGCAGATTGGCATCGAATCAACAAGTAACGGCCGCCCACATTGTAACAGTTGCCGTAACGAGCCGTGAGTAAATACAAGTGAAGTAAATACAAAATACCATGATCAAACGAAAAAGATTTTCTTCAAGAATATAGAGTAACAAAATGTTGAACAGCGGCTGTAAACAGCGGCGAACATGCGACAACAGTAATCCACCATTGTGAGCGCACACAAACATAAAGGGCGAGAGTGTAAGAAAATTACAAGTGCAAACATTGCCTAAGTGGACATTTTAACATAATCGTCTTTCTTCATTAAAATTCGTATAGTATATAATTATATTCTACGTAGTTTTTGTGCGTCTTGGAAGATTTTGTATGAAAACAACATTGACGGTTGCGTTTGTAGATGGCAGCCGTGACGTCAGGACTTTCCCGGGCCGAACTTGTGTGCGGGACTTCGAGTCTCTTTTTGTGTATGACGTGTACATTTTTACGGCATCATCGTTCTTTATTAAAACAGCAGGTATTGTACACAATTATTCTACAAATCGTTCGTGTGCGTCTTTTTATTTTTCGGCGTTAAAACATTGAATTTCCTTTATCAGCCCGGCGGCGCATGTGACAAAATTTATGTGGGGAGGGCAGTCTCGGGGAGGACGAACAAAATATAACCGCAAACTTCTCAGAAGCCCCTGGAATTAACTAATGTTCTGTTGTGGCAATTGTAACACTGTCTTACACAGTTCCCTTGTAACATTTGACAACGAAAAATTCTTGTCCACTTACCGAGTATCCTCGAAAAAGAATCGCCGAGACAGATTGCTTCGGTACACCCAAAATTCTGGCGGCCGCTGTTTACATTCTTGGAACACCTCGTTTGACATTTTAGTCAGTCGCTGGAGATGCCCAAACTTGTGCGCAGCGTCGACGATAGATATAGCTGCTTGTATGACTGAAATCCATCCTCCAAAATTGCAGACAATCCAACAAAATGGAAAAAACTGAGGTCGACTGAGCAGCAGACGTGTTCCCCAGCCAGCCCGGTGACCGTTAAATCTAGCGCCTTCAAACTTGGCGCATGTGCGTTAGAAGCCTAAACCCCCCTGGGAAACATCGTGAAGCACGTCAGTGCCGGCCGTTGCTGTTGTCAATTAATTAATAAACGCCCGTTTCCATGCCGGACGGTTCAGGACGGGCTGGGAGCGACGGGGTGCCGTCGCTAATTTCTGGGACGGCCGTCCGGGGGAAGTTTGTGGACGCTGCCAACTGTGTTGGGACGGTCAGGACGCCGTTTCCCGCTAAAGACGGGCAGGGACGGCGTCCGGTGGGCGTTTCTCCGTTGGGGACGCTTTCATTTTTACAGAGGATGGACATACTAGCCCTTGTCCTGCTGGCATTCATGAATGTACAGTGTGTTTTGATCAAAGATCTAATAAATGATGCAATGTTGTATTCTGTAATGTGCTTTGCTGTAAAATGACAGAGGAAACAACAAGAATAATTAGAAAGTTTATTGCAAATACTTGCCCGAGGGCTAATTGCAGTTACAAACAACATAGAAAGAAAATACAGTGGTATGTGAGACTATATCTACTTCTAACATTATACTATATTCTACAACATGACATGACACTAGTTTTACTGGGTTTGACTTCTTCTTTTTAGGCAATGGAAGACGAATTTACCCACTTCTTCTATAATATGTGGGTTCCTTGATTTTAGTAGTAAAATTGTTTTTTTGTGGTAAGGAATGGTGGGGAAGTAAGGCAGCATTTTGGACACGGTGGTAAATAATTGATTTCTGATGTCGTCATAAAATGGACAGTTAGAGATGAAATGAATTTCGTCTTCCACTGCATTTGAGGAGCAATATTTACAAATTCTCTCCGACACAGGTAGTTTCATATATCGCCCTTTTTCGATTTCCAAGGAGTGGGCACTGATTCTAATTTTACTAATAGCGGAGCGCTGATCGAAGTCACAATGTTCTAGGTATTGTTCTAAACAGTATTC